CAGTCCATGTTAAAAAAGGACAAACCAAGTCGTACTTTAAAAATTCATAACTTTAAAACTACAACAGCTAAAAATATAATTTTGGTGTTATAATTCTGTAAAAATTTAGCTCTATTCAACTATGCCATTGGTTTATTTTTACAAAATGTTTAAATTTTTGACCAAAGTATCTACATTAAAGGCAAAGGGCTTGAAAGGGAATGGTCGAGTGAAGTTATTGATATTGCGAGGGCAACTAGACTAAATATTACTGTTGACGCATCTAGGTAGTTCATTGTGACGCACAAAGCAACAATATGACAATCATTACCGTCTTTTTGTTCATGTACAATAACCATTTAACAAAATTGAACAACATAAAAAAAAAAGTAGCCTACAGTTCATGAATCTTTTGTCATTTACGACGCCATTGTGGGAAAACAAGGAGAACTCTTCTGTCTTCAAAGATAGGTTATAAAAGTTGCCCAATTGGATATATTTAGATTTAAATAATCTTTTAAAAATTGTATAGATCTATCTACTTTGATATTTCTTTCTAGCCCACTGGATCCATGCGCAGAAATGTAAAGGTAATACTCGCAAGGGACCTCAATATCAGGGGGCGCATTCGCCCTGGGCGCTGCCTTTCCTTTGCACGGTTGTGCATCCTTACAGACGTAACGCGGCTAGAATTTTGAAGGTGGGGGTTATTTAGGAAATATTTGTTAAAACTTTAAATAAAATTGTCAATTTACTTTCTTAAAATTTGATTATTTGTGACAGTTTCGATTTCTTTCTCAATAAATAGCTGGTGATTTACTAAGACTAAGAGGCAAAAAGCGGGAAAGTAATGAAATATATATCAGTAGCGAAGTAAACACCATTGCAAACAGATGACTAACAAAGCAACTTGGTTCCATCAAGATACATAAAATCACTAACACTGCTTCTCATTTTACTCACCACAATCCAGAGTCTACTTAGGTGGCATCTACTAAATAATTAAGTGCCATCTATCAAACTAGAGCTGACCAACCATAGACCATTTAAATAGCTTATTTGCCTACTATGACTCACAATTGTCGAGAAAAAGTCAATCCACTTGCATAGGAAGGGGGCTGTGGAGGGGGTGGTCGACACAGGTGCCACTTTAAAAAAAAATTATATTGAGGGCAGCATTTTCTATAATTCAAATGAAAACACTCGATGTTTCTAAATCATCTTCATTACTAGATTTTTAAAAAAAATGATCTACGAAAATGGCTTAAACTAAAAAAGAAAATAAGAAAGAAAAAAAAAATCTACCCGTCCTAAGAGAAATTAACAAAGCAAAAATTAAAAAAATAAAAAGAATAAAACTATGAATCGATGAAATAACAAGGAGAAAAAACAATTTAAAAAAAAATAATTCTCATACTATTATTGTTATCACATCCGGCTCCGAAGCTATTTAATATGTACGGATCCACTAAGGGTGCGAATAGTCATTGGCGATTATAGGTAGCCGGGTACCTATAGATGCAGCCAAAAATACGATAGACTTGCAAAACCTTCTAAGTTGCATTAGCATTCACTTTCAAACCCTACTAAGTTACCAGCCAATGGCAGTAGTTGTTTTAAACAAAATTTGTGAAAAAGAGCCAATCACAATTTAGCTTGCCGGCACATGACTTTCTTTCGACACATTTTGCTGATAATGTTTATTAAAATCATGCAGTACAGTTTAAAGAAAATGTAAAAGAGCACCCCCCTCTATATCTTTTAAATTTGTTGTGGACTTTCTTTCGACACATTTTGCTGATAATGTTTATTAAAATCATGCAGTACAGTTTAAAGAAAATGTAAAAGAGCACCCCCCTCTATACTCTATATCTTTTAAATTTGTTGTGGGCTGTCAAACTTCCTAAGCCTAAGTGATTTAGACCACTTTCAAATCCTCATAAGTATTTTAAAACTCTTTCAAAAGCTGCTAAGTATATTTTTTAAACTCTTTCAAAAGCTGCTAAGTATGTAAACCATTTTCAAAACCTGCTAAGTAATAACTTTATAATGCATTATAAATGCAAAAATGCCCATTAAACTATATTTTATGTTAAAAAATATATCATTTGCAGCTAATCTTATAACTGGAACAAAAACCAGATTCCTAGGATTAGCGCATCATTGTGTTTTAGAAAAATGTGTTTTTCTCAAAATCAATCTAAAGTGACTTAGCAGGGTTTGCAATTGGACTCCTCAATTAATATATTCTACAGTTTTATATGTTAAAATGTTATAACAAGTATTTGAGTAAAATTCGTCGATGAAATGGTCATTTCGTCTTTGTCAGTCGTGCATGAATAGGCCTATGTTGTAGATAGTAATAATAATAATAATAAAGTTCATTTCAAAAACACGCTTCATCCCCAAAGGCTCGAAGCAAGGTACAATGTCAACAAAAAACATATCTATAATTTACCACATTTAAAACAAACGCAACACTACAAAAACTAATTACAAGCATACAATCTCAAAGTCTTTCTAGCCATTTCAACCCGGAGCAACACAGCCATTATGCATTAACTGGAAAATAAGGTAGACAATCATCCCAGAAGGTGTTTGCGAAATAGATGTGTCTTTAGATCGGTTTTAAAGGACTCCAGTGTCTGGTTGTTTCTAAGATCGACAGGAAGGGCGTTCCAAATTGTTGGACCAGCAAATGCGAAAGTGCGCTTTCCGTAAGTCTCAAGGCAAACACTTGGTGTCGAGAGTTTGCCACTATCGGATGAGCGGAGCTCTCTAGTGGGTACATAAGGCGTCAGCAGCTCTTTCAGATAGGACGGCGCCAGGTCATGTAAGCAGCGGTAGCACAAAGTTGCGATTTTGTACTCTATGCGAGCACGCACCGGCAGCCAATGCAACTCTCTCAGAAGTGTTTTTGCATGGTCGAATTTGCGTTTGCGGAGAACTATGCGAGCCGCATTATTCTGTGCTATTTGAATTTTATCCAGGAGCGTAGCAAGACTTCGTGTAGAATCTAAATAACTATTGGATAAGTCTTGGTATGTTATAGTTTATGAAAATTACATCACAGATAGAAACATGGGCGCCCGCAGGGGGGCACTGGATTGATTGAATAACAAAATTTTAGACAAAAATAGACACAAAATTTATTAAAGTAAAGAGAAAATAAAGAGAAAGTAACTAAGCTGATGTCCTGTCCGTTCGTTCACCATACAAATACGCTTCAGTAGATTAAAACTATATTAAAATATTACACAATTTTTTAGCCTCCCCCCCTGGAAAGTTAATCGATTTTTTTGCCCCCCCCCCCAGAAAGTTTTCTGCGGGCGCCCATGGATAGAAATAGTAACATGAACTATAAGGAATATCAATAGACTTATTAAATTTTTTGGGGTCAAGTTTCCAAAATCGTTTTTTTGAATGGAATCCAAATTCAAAAGTCTTTAATAGCAGAAACATCAATAAATTATGATTTTAAAAAATAAATATTTAATAATACTATACACAAATGTTTAAATAATAAAAAAAATGTACTGTAATATCTTTTTTATCATTACTAGATTTTCTAAACATTTACAAGTTAATAATTGGCATAAATTATAAATAATATTTATTAAAAATTTTATTTTGGTATTTTAAATTTATGTGTATGTTTAACATAACTTTAGGTTATTAGAGTAACGAAAACAATCCACGACCTTTGACACCTTGCCTTAACTTCAATATTGCTCGAAATTTTAAGTAAAGTTTGTAAATAAGGTTTCTTTTTCCTTTCTATCTTTTTAAAAAAATAAAATATTTTGTTGCTTAATATTTATTTCATTTCTAATATTTATTCTTCTAATAGTTATTTTCAATAGTGAGTAGTGGCAGTAGTGGGTGAAGTGTGTCTAGCAGTCGTCATGTCATAAGTCATAAATCATAAAGTCTTTGTCAACGACTGTCAAACTTCAGTGGGCCAGTGACCCCCCCCCCCCCATATAAGTATGTAAACATTTTATCTCCCCCCACCCCAATGAATTATAATATAAATAAAATAATAAATTTAATTTATATATACATTTTAGTTTTTCTTTGTGCTGATGTATTTTAATGACACAAAATTGTAGGTTAAACATTTTATTAGATCTTTAGCTTGTTATTCAGCAAGTTAAAAAGTTTTTACACTTACCTTTTAGGCTGTTTCTGATTTAGCGGCCCACGTTGACTTTGTTAAGGTTAGGCATGCGGCATAGGGATTGTTTTAGGGTTCGGGTTAGGCGTAGGGATAGATTTAGGGTTCGGGTTAGGCATAGGGATAGATTTAGGGTTCGGGTTAGGCATAGGGGTCGATTTAGGGTTCAGGTTAGGCATAGGGATGGATTTAAGACGTAAAAGTGCGCGCATGGAAATAAACGCGGGCCGCGTTCTCTGAATTTACCAAGCTTCAATATGATTATTGTCAGTATAGCTGGCAAATAATAGTTTATTTTCTAGATGCTATCATCTTTCCATGGAGTAGCCAGGTGTTGCTATATCATAACAATGGGCATCAGGGACATCATTTGGGTAGGGCAGGTTTTATTTATTTTAATTGCTATGTACTGTTGCCGTTGCGCCTCCAGTAATAAACAAATTTAACAAGCCGACAGAGTTTTGGTTTTGCCCCCCCCCCCGAACAAACCCTGAAATGCACCCCTGATGGGCATTGTCTATAGCAATGTTCCCTCTAAGGTTTGTAGGTTTGTTGGTTCATGTGCAAAATCATAAAGTTGTGTGCAAATTTTTACAGAATCAATTTTTTTGTGCACAAAATTTTACAGCCTACAGACACAAACACACACTTAAGTGGAAATTAGCTGCGTGGTACTCAAAACTGCTGCGCGGCATCTGTGAGATTGCTGCGTGGCCGCGGAGCCGCACAGCCGCGCTGCTTAAAGGGAACATTGGTCTATAGTAGCTGATTTATCATTTTCAACTTGCGGAACCGATATACCAGACAAATTAACATCATCCTCATCTAACCATTCAGCACTTAAAATAGAAGCATTGTCAGTGTGAGCAATAATTGCCATAAGCTCTCTCTATCTCCTTGTAGCTACTCGCATTGGTCGAATCCTTTTTTTTGAGGAGCAGGTGCTAATTTCTTATGCTCAAGAGGGCATTGTTGGCCCTGTTGATCATGCTTTTTCAACGTGGCTTGTGATGCAAAATAGATGTTCAAGCAGCGATGTTATTATTGTTACTCATTTTACTTTCCCCTAATTCTCAGAATTTTGTATTCCTACTCTATCAATATCATTTATCTTGACCGCACATGACACTTGAACCTTTTCCTTGTTCTATACCTGCAACATGATCGCAAACATACCACCCTAGTCATATGCGACAAACAGAATCTACAGGCAAAGCAAGGCCACCTTTTGACTTCTCTTGCACTAACAAAGTGTGCTAACATTCTGACCAGCCATCTGCAGTGCTTAAGCAGACACACATTAAATAAATCTTATATTGTTAAAAGCCTAAAAATTATATGACTATTTACACTCAATAAATTTTAAAAAAATAATGTAATAACCAGTCAATTTTTAAGATTAAATATTTAATCGAGAAAACATGGTTGTTGATGCCAACTAAGCTAAACCCCCCTCCCCCCTTGTCAACAACTGTCAAACATTTCCAAACCCCCTCCCCCCTATTTTGTTGACATAATTAATGGACGAACCCTGTCCAGTACCAGACAACAGCATGAAAAATTGTTCAGAAATAAATGGAAGTTTAAAAAAATGTATAATTTATAACTTTTTCATTTAATTATCAACATTTTGAATGCAAGCAGCCAGATGATCAATAAATTGATCGTGGGTCCTTAAGGTAAAGAAGAAGAAGTGATCGCATGTTGATCTGGCACTTTAATGAGAAAACAGCACCCACTCTCTCTTTCTTTGCCACAGAAAACCTATTGGTCCTATCCACTGTACTTATTATTAATGGACATCAATAAAAGAATAACCGTTTAAATAGCAATTCAAACTGGAACAACACATTTTTTTTTATAACCGACGCTGAAGAGTGAAGTGGTAGCTTGCCGCGTATAATTCCAAGGTATTCGGTCAGCCACTCAGCGTAAGAAACTCCTATGCCGGAGTATATATATATATATATGTATCTATAAATATATATATATATAAAAGAATACAATCTACAATTATTGCCGATGTAAGCATTAATTAAAATTATAGGCCTACTTATTCATTAAAGAAAATTGCACCCTCTTTAGTTTAAGAAAGTGTTAACACATTAAATTTTTTTTTCATGCCATGGCATAATATGCTATGCTAGTAATATACATAATTAGTAATAAAACTATTTATTATCAGTCACTGTTGGCAATATTTAATTATTTATTAGAAATTAAAAACACTTACTGACACTGCAGTTTTTGCTATGATTGCGCAAACGGATTTATAATTACGATTGACTACTACTCAAAGTAGCTACTGTCATAAGGATTCCTGAAATAGCTACAGGTATATTAATAGATACTGACAAAACCTCGCTCAAATTCTATGTTATGTTTGCCTACCGAGCCAAACATAAGACCAAAGGTAATTTTAAATGGGTCAAAAGAATTAAGCTTCATTTTTACCTTCAATGTATTTATTGTGTCCTGAGCACACCAAAAATAATGAAATTTAAAAAAATATAAAATTCTAAATCCTTGAAGAACCATACTAAATCCTGTATTGCTGTACACCTTTCAAAAAATCTTAAACCCATACAAAGTACAGGTCAACCATACAGGTTGGCATGTATGCTATTAGTAGTAGTTGACTTAGTAATATAGGCCTAGTACTTATTTTATACATTAACTATTAGATTAGTACTTAGTTTTAATGTAGCCTTCACTTATTCTACTAAATAGACAGACTGGGGTACTAGTAGACCAGTAGTAAACTAGTAGTTTTATTGAGTTGGTATCCCTGGTGGGATGTATCCTCCAAAATTTTTTGTAGTTGAATTGATTATTTCCTCTGATTATAATTCTAATTTATTATCAAGTTGATTTGATTGATTTTTAACATAATCCAGATTAAAATTAAAACGAGAAATGTATACTTGCCCACCAGGTCCATTTAACAAATCTCTTCATTCTAAAGCACTTAACAGGCTGAAGAGGTAGTGTACCACTTTATTGACATATTTACATCATGGTGCACCATCTGTCTTGCAATTAGTCAAGGGGCCTAAATTTTCCAATCAAGTTTTTTTCAAGCCTCAAAGACTATTGGAAACAGCCCAAAACTGTGCACCGAAAGCCTTGCCATAGACAAAGGCAAGGGAGTGTAGAATGTGTGAATCAATATGTTGAAAACATGCTGACGAAATGGATGCAGGACACGAAGAGCAATCATTGGAATGTTTTGCTGTACAGTGTGTTCAGTTAATGAAAAGTCAGGCATATATTCAGTAGGCCTATGTGATGGTATCAAGATGTCTTCCTATGAAATTCTTTTTGGATTCACAGTAAAGATTGGGTTAAACACATTTAGAGAGGTTTTAAGGAACGTTGTGTGGGAGGAAGACTTTCATGAGGTTGTTGTATCATTTGCAGAATGTTCTAATGCTTCGTCTACCTCACCTCAAGTATCTACCATTATTTTCCCCATACAGCCCAAAATATTTATACCATTGAAGAGCATGCAAACTCAAATGTCTATGCCAGTTGAAGTATCGACATGTAGGACAGTGCAAAGGGGGCACTTGGTCGCCAGCATCAATGGGGTGCAAAAATCATCTTTATTTAGGACCTTTATATTTTTAGGGAATTAAACAATAGAATGTGATGTACTTCAAAATGACATGGGGCACCAAATTTGTCCTTTTTTCGATTGATTGATGCCATTTCAGGCTTCGCCCCTGGCACCGCTTGACCTCAGCACAATCCTGTTGACATGTTTTACTTCTAGAAAGCTTGTCAATGCCATTCAAGTGCAGATTGCTAGAATTAATATACAAATTAGGAAACTTTCAATTTCATTTTGTACCGGTACTTAAAATTTGCCTGATCCCTGCTGTTTATTATTTGCTCATAAAAAATTACAATCTAAACACACTTAGCCTGTAAAAGTAGACACTTAGCCTGCAACACTAGACACACTTAGCCTGTAACAGTAGACACACATAGCCTGTAACAGTAGACACACTTAGCCTGTAACTTTAGTATTTTTTTTATAGTAGAGACTACTTTAGAATTTACATGTAGTCTAGTAGTAGAAGTATGTATTAGTTGTTAGTATTTAAGTATTAGGCCCGCTTTTAGTATATTAGGCTATGAGGAATGCCATCAGGTGTTGTAATTATAAGCTACGCCTAAGGACATGACTTGGTTAACACAGTTCGCTTGGCATGATGTGGTTAACACAGTAGGCTTGGCATGATGTGGTTAACACAGTAGGCTTGGCATGATGTGGTTAACACAGTAGGGTTGGCATGATTTGGTTAACACAGTATGCTTGGCATGATGTGGTTAGCACAGTAGGCTTGGCATGATTTGGTTAACACAGTAGGCTTGGCATGATGTGGTTAACACAGTAGGCTTGGCATGATTTGGTTAACACAGTAGGCTTGGCATGATGTGGTTAACACAGTAGGCTTGGCATGATTTGGTTAACACAGTAGGCTTGGCATGATGTGGTTAACATAGTAAGCTTGGCATGATGTGGTTAACACAGTAGTCTTGGCATGATGTGGTTAACTTAGTAGGCTTGGCATGATGTGGTTAACATAGTACTGGTAGGTTTGGATAAAATTTAGATTCAGACAAGTATTAAAGTTGTCTGCTTTATTTAATTTAACTCTTTATTAATCAATTTATTAAAAATAATTATAAAGCTGGTAGGCATAGTAGAAATAGTAGGCAGGTAGGACAAACAATAGTATTAATACTACCCCATACCTGCCTAAAGAATACAATCTCTATATAGTCCACAATGAATGAAATGTTTTACAATCACAAATGAATATATGGTCAGTGACGACTACTTAAGAGTTAGAATGATGAGACAATTTTATTTTACTATTAAGGACAACAGAAAGCAGTCTGTTGTGCACTACTATTATTATGCACAATATATATACACACCAACATTATTATTGCCACACAATATATATTTACACCAACATTACCACAATATATATTTACACCAAAAATATTACAATATATATACACACCAACATTATTATTGACACACAATATATATTCACACCAACATTATTACAAAATATATATATTTACTCAGTAACATTATCACAATATATATAGACACCAACATTATCCCAATATATATATAGACACCAACCTTATTACTGTGACACAACTTCAAACAGATCACCTGCACTTGTACATAAGACAAGGTCTGTCGCTTAGAAAAAGAGCTCAGTTGCTTTACTTAATAATAAGTACAAGGACTAACACTAAAAGATTAGCCACTTCTTGTTAGGGCTTCATTTTAAATAGTCTCAATAAATGTAACAAATTAAATGTGTATGTTGCAAATAAAATTCATATGCATGAAAACATAACAGTTGATATGGTGTATGCATGGAAACATAACACTTGATATGGTGTACACATGAAAACATAACAGTTGATATGGTGTATGCATGAAAACATAACAGTTGATATGGTGTATGCATGGAAACATAACAGTTGATATGGTGTATGCATGGAAACATAACACTTGATATATTGTATGTATGGAAACATAACACTTGATATGGTGTATGCATGGAAACTTAACTTCAAAATAAAACTAATAATCATTTTATCTTTTCAGGTTGGTTTTCAGAGCAGCAGACTGATAATGTCAGCTTCTGCTGTTTCACGTACAGCTTCATCAGGACTGCACATACCCATCTGCAATTTTACCAGTTATTTGAGATATAAATGCTGTATAAAGTATCTGTTTGGAACATCGTTACTGAGACGGACAATAACCAGTTCAAATTTCAAGAAAGATTTGCTTAACCTACAATCTTCAAATTTGAAAAACTTCCGGCAAAGTAAACATATTCCCGGGTTATATTTCCGTCAAGACCATACACGATGTTCATCCACTTTATCTCACGATGAGTCCTCACCTTCGCCAGTTTTTCTCAAAGCTGAAAAGTATCTTGAGAACACAGCAGTTGTGGACAGAGATGGATCTTTTACATATGCAGACCTACTGCATCACAGCATGTGCCTTGCGGTTCAAATTCTTGAAACATACCGTAATGGGGACATGAAACTTGATGGTGACAGGATCGCGCTTCTAACAGAATACAACGCCACCTACATCATTTGTCAGTTCGCCACTTGGATTTGTAATGGCATCTCTGTGCCTCTGTGTAACACCCACCCTGCCTCTGAATGGGAATATTTCCTGCAAGATTCTCAGTGCTCCCTAATCCTTGTGTCCAGCAGTCTTGTGGACAAAATATCGCCGGTTGCTGAAAAACTTGGAATCAGGCTTATAGTTTTAGCAAGAAACAGTTTCAGCAATGGATACCCCAAGAACAGATGGTTCCAACCGGATCATGCATCCAACCCTAAGTAAACAATATTGTTTTTAAAGGAATTGTGTACACGGTATTGTTCAGAGTATAGGCCACTTCTGATGAAGCCGAACCCTTAAAGTTTAGTGTTCACATATACCGGAATTGTTCAGAGTATAGGCCACTCCTGATGAAGCCAAACCCTTAAAATTTAGTGTTCACATATATCAGAATTGTTCAGAGTATAGGCCACTCCTGATTAAGCCAAACCCTTAAAGTTTAATGTTCACATCTACCAGAATTGTTCAGAGTATAGGCCACTCCTGATGAAGCTGAACCCTTAAAGTTTTGTGTTCACATATATCAGAATTGTTCAGAGTATAGGCCACTCCTGATTAAGCCGAACCCTTTAATTTATCAGTATTGTTATTATTATCTTTCGCAACATCCCCATCACTACCGCACCCCTGGTTTAAAGACTAGTATTATCTTTTGCAACATCCCCATCACTACCGCACCCCTGGTTTAAAGACTAGTATTATCTTTTGCAACATATCCATCACTACCGCACCCCTGGTTTAAAGACTAACAGTAGTTTTAAAAATGCAGCCTACAATCAGAACACTACGGTGCATACTGGAAATTTCAATGACTGTTAAATATAAATATTAAATGAACTAGTTATAGCCCGAGAAAAATGGCAGAGGCAATGAGTGAACTTCCCATCTACTTAAAATGACTTGAAAGAACTTGCATTCAAGTCATGCATTTTATAAGAATCTCAATGAGTGCTCCCCAAACCACCACACCCCTTTTTACACGCCCCTGGACTATATTAATAATTCTAATGTCCCACCCCTTTTTACACGCCCCTGGACTATATTAATAATTCTAATGTCCCACCCCTTTTTACACGCCCCTGGACTATATTAATAATTCTAATGTCCCACCCCTTTTTACACGCCCCTGGACTATATTAATAATTCTAATGTCCCACCCCTTTTTACACGCCCCTGGACTATATTAATAATTCTAATGTCCCACCCCTTTTTACACGCCCCTGGACTATATTAATAATTCTAATGTCCCAACCCTTTTTACACGCCCCTGGACTATATTAATAATACTTATGTCCCACCCCTTTTTACACCTCAGATTTATTTCATCATATTTTAATTGAGACTATTTCAGTAAAACAAAAACAAATATTATGCACAAAACATACTTTGGATCTTTAGAAATCTCATTGAGCATGGTTATTGGGAATTTTATGTTGCACGCTACTGAGCTCACCAATACTCCATACCTTCTTTCATACATAGAGAATTACATTAATTCATCATCATCCTATGTGTCACAGCTAATCTAAATACATAATTATCTATGCAACAATGTCACTAATGCTACCACTTGGCGATGATTTCCCTGAATAAAATTCCTGATGATTGTGCTAAATTTTTTCTTAGTCCCACTTCACATGTAATATTAATATGTAACACATCTAAATCTGCTGTGTAAAAGTGGATGGGACATTAAAAGATGATATAGTTCAGAGGCAGTGGTGCACGGAAAAAAAAAAGGGCGGGGGGTGTTGCACTATTAGGAAAGTGCTTTACTTGAATGTATGTTTGTCAAGTCATTTTTATTAGATGGGAAGCCATTGTTTAGCGGCCATAGCTAGTTATTAATAATTAATTATTTAATAAGCTTTAAGACACGATAAAAACGTGATTTAATATGCATGAGGGTGACAAAAGGGGAATTTTTGTGCAGTTAACAAGTAAAAATAAATTAAACTGACAATTTAAAACTGTTATATTATTTTTATGTTATTTGTGTTTAAAGAATTCACCACATAAAATAAAATAGTAGTTAACAGTTCTGTTAAATTTATTAAACATTATAAAATATATTTTACTTTTTATTGTTTTACCTGGACCAGGAAAATGAGACGGGTGTATGAGCAAAGGAAACAACGCTGGTTTGACCGTCAAGAAGAATCTGTTTTGAAAAAGCCATCCTTGATTGTGTATACAAGTGGAACAACTGGACCACCAAAGGTAATAACGGGACCACCATAAGTAATAACAGGACCACCAAAGGTAATACAGGACCACCAAAGGTAATAACAGGACCACCATAGGTAATAATGGGACCACCATAAGTAATAACAGGACTACCATAGGTAATAAATGGACCACCATAGGTAATAATAGGATCACCATAGGTAATAAGTGGACCACCAAAGGTAATAACAGGGAAACCATAAGTAATAACAGGACCACCATAAATAATAACAGGACCACCATAAGTAATAACAGGACAACCATAGGTAATAACAGGACCACCATAGGTAATAACAAGACCACCATAAATAATAACAGGACCACCATAGGTAATAAATGGACCACCAAAAGTAATAACAGGACCACCATAGGTAATAAATGGACCACCAAATGTAATAACAGGATCACCAAAGGTAATAAGTTATATTACTTTCCATCAATAAAAATAAAAGGTTCTCCCACTGGCTCAATGACCATACATGCTGTGCCAATATCAACATCATCTCTTTCTTATTGTAACATGAATCCCTTGACTGGTAGCAGGAGAAGGCATCAAGGCACCATCTGTTCTGCACACGTTTGAGAACCCTGGTTTAAGTGATTTGAATTATGTGTTATAATTCTTAAACATCTCCTGACAATAAACTCCTTTGTAGGTTTCTGCAATGCTGGCCAATAGTCTACCTTGTTTTTGCAAAGTCTATGTTGGTTTTATCAGAATTATTGGCAAAAAAGAGAAATAAATGTTTGCATTAGTTGTATGGAAACTTTTGTTTTTTGTGTATTTTAAAATATTAATGAAAAAAATTAACAGTAGGTGTAAAATATTAATTTTATTCATCATGTGAACTTATTTGAAGCATTGCTTTTCACTTGGTATGAAATCAGTTTTTCTCTCAAATTTCCAGTGACATAAACAGCTAACAGTGTTAGTAGAATAAAAAGTGGTAGTATTTATAATTTTCACGCTCCTCTTTGACTTAAAAAAAGTGCAGAAAATGTACCTCAAACTTAGAGTTACATTCTCATTAAAAATTGTCTAATTATTTCAAGCATTTACTATAATTTTTGTTTGACAAAATTCTCATGTGACGTCTTTTCTTCTATCACTGTTATTCATCAGGGTGTTGTCCTGACCCATGGAAACTTGGCGGCCATGGCCGCAGGAATGATTAAAAGCTGGGAATGGACACAAAGAGATGTTGTGCTTCATGTTTTGCCATTGCATCATCTTCATGGCATCGTCAACGTCCTGCTGACCCCGTTGTCCTGTGGAGCCACTGTTGTCATGGAGCCGAAGTTTGATGCAAAGCAAGTTAGTAGCTCTACATTTTGTACAGCCTGGCAGTTGGTACAGCATGTTACTGGGTACAGCATGTTACTGAGTACAGCATGTTAGTAGCTCTACATTTTGTATAACCTGGCAGTGGGTACAGCATGTTACTGGGTACAGCATGTTACTGAGTACAGCATGTTAGTAGCTCTACATTTTGTATAACCTGGCAGTGGGTACAGCATGTTACTGGGTACAGCATGTTACTGAGTACAGCATGTTAGTAGCTCTACATTTTGTATTTCTTGGCAGTGGGTACAGCATTTTACTGGGTACAGCATGTTAGTAGCTCTACATTTTGTATAGCCTGGGAGTGGGTACAGCATGTTACTGGGTACAGCACGTTTCTGGGTACAGCATGTTACTGGGTTAAAGCATGTTACTGGGTACAGCATGTTAGTAGCTCTACATTTTGTATAGCCTGGCATTGGGTACAGCATGTTACTGGGTACAGCATGTTACTGAGTACAGCATGTTAGTAGCTTTACATTTTGTATTTCATGGCAGTGGGTACAGCATGTTACTGGGTACAGCATGTTAGTAGCTTTACATTTTGTATTTCATGGCAGTGGGTACAGCATGTTACTGGGTACAGCATGTTAGTAGCTCTACATTGTGTATAGCCTGGCAGTGGGTGCAGCATGTCTGTAGCTCTACATTGTGTATAGCCTGGCAGTGGGTGCAGCATGTCTGTAGCTTTACATTGTGTATAGCCTGGCAGTGGGTGCAGCATGTCTGTAGCTCTACATTGTGTATAGCCTGGCAGTGGGTGCAGCATGTCTGTAGTTTTACATTTTATATTAAAGAAAAAGAAATGCTTTAAATGAAGTATGCTTTCCTTTATTCTGTCTTTAAAGAGATGAAAAAAAATCTGTTTGACATTTCATCCCCTGTCCAGTAATTAAACAGTAATTACCATAATTTCACTTTGTCCAGGTCTGGCATCTGTTGACCACACCATCCATAGAGCATTTTGACCGTAGCATCAATCTATTCATGGCAGTCCCAACGATTTACGCCAAACTCATTGACTATTATGAAAGGAACATTACTGAACCCAAGGCAAAAATTGCTGCTGACTTCATTCACCAAACTCTGACCACAAAGATCAGGTTAGTGAATAAATTATCTTTGCTCAAATAACTTTTTTATTGCATTCATTATGGCTATTGGTAGCCTGAGAAGCTATTTTATATCAATTCCTTTGTTTTAACCTAGCAAAGGCATTATTATCAATTCATAACCAAATCGGCATTGAATTTTTTTTTTTAATTTAACTTCTGAGTGTTATTAAGGTATTCTAATTTTTTACTGTCTCGAATTGCTGACCAATGTAATATTTCAGACTGATGGTGAGTGGCTCTTCGGCGCTGCCACAGCCAATCAGTGAACGTTGGACAGAGCTGTCTGGTCACGAACTGCTAGAAAGATATGGCATGACCGAAATAGGCATGGCTCTCTCCAACCCTCTGTACGGCCCAAGAGTTCCTGGTGGGTAACTCACTGAAAACTCTCTGAACGTATATTTTACTAACTATTCTAATGTACATCGCTTATGATGATATTATCAGCCTGAATATTAACGTAATCTAACAGTCTTTAATTTGTATTACAGAATTAAAATCTTAGAAATTAAACCAGCATTTAATTAACTGCTGTTAGAATTTAAAAATGTTCATCCCATGCAGGCCCTGTTACAGGGTGATCAACTGATTCTGGGCTGGGGGCATCGTGTTCCCAGCAATAAACAAACACTGAACAATTATAATTTTTCATCATGATATTTTGAGCTTTTAAAAATTGAAAACCAAATTGTTTAAATGTACCTGCTGCCTCCACTATCAAGTTGTCCCTGGCATCTCTTGATCCCTAAAAGGCACTGACCCTATCGATGTCATTGTTGTAGACTTTATGGCAATGATAATTGAAGGCTTTTACTAATTCCAAAGTAAAATAATGATACAAAGTTTTTGAGGAGGGTGTGTGTTTAAGCTATAATTTGTATATGACCAATTCACATTAATCTGTTCAGAAAATTTTTATTAATTTTATATATGATGTTTATTTGTTGTTTCATTTGTTGCGATGTAAAATATATATACAATTTACTGTTTCCTTGCCACCATTATATTTTAAATACGTTTATTTAGGATCCTATGCACAAATGCTGCTTGAGCACAGACAATTGTATTACCTTTATATGAGACCTATATTATTTCCAAATATCAAAACATTTTGCAATACCTTGAAACTAGAGAAGTTTTTTTTCATCATGATCTCACTATTGTCTTAGCTCCTCTCCACCTGACGCTTAGCTCCTCTCCACCTGACGCTTAGCTCCTCTCCACCTGACGCTTAGCTCCTCTCCACCTGACGCTTAGCTCCTCTCCACCTGACGCTTAGCTCCTCTCCACCTGACTAGATCATTAGGAAACACATGATTGCAACGCCTCTTTAGCCACGGCTTCATTTTCAGCGTAGTCATGGCAACAACTAACTTATTAATGTTCTTAAGCAAAATCTCCGTCCAAGTCCTCTTCCTTTTTTGTACATTGGGGTGGCATACAGTCTATATGTCAGTTTTATCTATATGCCAGTGTATAAACTGCTTGTTGTGGCCATGGAATATGCCCTGGCCAGTGCATTCTAAGCAGAGCAGCTGTTGTTTCCACAGGTTGTTGTTCTCCCTATCAGAACCACTTTGTTTTTTTACCTGACCATAGTTGCAGATCACTGTTCTCTGTCTCAGACATCTTGGTGGGGTACATTCAGTGTCTAGGCTGTTGGTGGGGTACATTCAGTGTCTAGGCTGTTGGTGGGGTGCATTCAGTGTCTAGGCTGTTGGTGGGGTGCATTCAGTGTCTAGGCTGTTGGTGGGGTACATTCAGTGTCTAGGGTGTTGGTGGGGTACATTCAGTGTCTAGGCTGTTGGTGGGGTACATTCAGTGTCTAGGCTGTCCTCTTTGTCATCTGTAATTCTGTTCTCTGTCTCAGACAACTTTGATGGGGTAGATCCACTGTCTAGAATGTTATCTCATCAGTAACTCTGTTCAAGTCTTATTACATTATAAAGTAATTAGTATTTTATTTCAGAAAATTTCCCATTAAATTTTGCACATATTGATTACCCTATAAATTCGTTTATAGGTCACACTTTTTTTAAACCAAAAATTTCGATTTAAATGAGTGGTGCGACATGATAAGGATCTGAAGCATTTACTGTTATCCAAGCTTTTCTCTTAACAGAACAGAGGGCAATCAGTTTTTTTAATGTTTTTTAAAGATACTGGTACTGTAACATAGTTTATGGACATGCTTTTAAGTTTTCAAGTTTTGTGACGGCTTTTTAATAAATATTAGATACATTTACATTTTTAAAAAAGGACTATGTAACATCTCATACTAAGGGTGCAACCCATACGCTAGTATAAAAAGTAGGAGGTTATGCTATTTCTCTGGCTCAAATCCAATAAAAAATTTAAGCAAATAATATTTAATGTCCCTGATGGATAACCTTTAAGTACCGTAATACTAATTATTTTATCAAACAGGTGCTGTTGGTACGCCAATGCCTGATGTGGAAGTACGTATTGTGAAACCAAATGTTTATAACTCACAAGGCTACGACATTTTAGTTGATGGGAACTCCAGACATTCGCTTGTCACTAGAGGTGAGTGTAGCAAGGAACAAAATATCAAATGGCACCTGATGAATGGAGTTTGAACTGGAATTTGAAAATGCTTATTATTCATAAAGAGAATGACTGTCTTAATTGAAATTGATTATTTAATGGGTGCTTTCATTAAACTTTTAAGCATTTTTGGAGGTGCATTTATCCATGTCACTGTCCAGATGCATTCGTCCGTGTTTTTGTCCAGGTTCATTTATTTAGTGTAACATTTTTTACCAGTAAAGTAACCCAGTTTACTCTCTATTATCTGTCATTGACATGTTCTGTCATTGACATGTTCTGTCATTGACATGTTCTGTCATTGACATGTTCTGTCATTGACATGTTCTGTCATTGACATGTTCTGTCATTGACATGTTCTGTCATTGACATGTTCTGTCATTGACATGTTCTGTCATTGACATGTTCTGTCATTGACATGTTCTGTCATTGACATGTTCTGTCATTGACATGTTCTGTCATTGACATGTTCTGTCATTGACATGTTCTGTCATTGACATGTTCTGTCATTGACATGCTTGATAAAAAAAATTTCTGTGGGGTTAAATGTGTACTTTCTGTTGTGTTACATTCTGGGTGGCCGAGCAGTCTAAACTGGTCAATCCCAACGTGTGGACTGGAGTTCAATCCCCAGAAAAAGCCTAGACAAGCCAAAAACACCACCAACACACCATGTGGATGGGATGCCAAAAACACCACCAACACCCCAGGTGGATGGGACGCCAAAAACACCACCAACACACCATGTGGATGGGACTCGCTAACTTTGGATAGCAACTCATCTAAGAGAAGTAAAATTCTGAATTCACACCCGCAGATGGAGTCCTGAGGGTTGTATGACGTTAACAAAATGAAAATTCTGGCAACACCTTCGACATGGAACGCATAGAAAGCACAGTGAAACACTTAAGACTCACTGCTGGTCATCTACTACGTCCTGGTCTATTTCCACTTATTTTGAAAAAGTCTTGCCATAAGAACAAATAGGCATACACACGAGAGCTAGTCTGATGACTTAAGCAAGTCTCCCTCACTTTAAACAAAATACAGCTCAACTCAAGGCCACTACTCAAGTCAAGGCCACTACTCAAGTCAAGGCCACTACTCAAGTCAAGGCCACTACTCAAGTCAAGGCCACTACTCAAGTCAAGGCCACTACTCAAGTCAAGGCCCCTACTCAAGTCGAAGCCTTGGTCATCTTTGCATGTGAAGAAAGAAGAATAAAAAAAATTATAATATGCATCTACATCGTACTGAAAGAAAACATTATGAGTACTTCCATCTGATAATTTTATATTTATTTAAATAAGGTCTCAAGGGAGATATTTCCTTTGAAGTATTTTAAGTGAATATTTACTACGTAAACTTTATTCAAAATTATTGTCACATTATAATCTAACAGGTTCAGAAGAAGAAATTGGGGACCTCCTTGTTCGTGGCCCATCTGTAGCCAAAGAATATTGGAAAAAACCAGAGGCTACAAAAGAAGCATTTACTAAAGATGGATGGTTTAAGACAGGTAAGTTAAGTCTCATTAAGTCACTCGCATTGAATGCTTTTCAGACATGTAGATGAAATGTGTTTAAATCAGGCAAAATGAATGTGTTTAAGACAGGTAAATTAAATGTTTTCAAATCAGGCAAGTTGAATGTGTTTAAGATAGGTAAATTAAATGTGTTCAAATCAGGCAAGTTGAATGTGTTTAAGATAGGTAAATTAAATTTGTTCAAATCAGGCAAGTTGAATGTGTTTAAGACAGGTAAATTAAATGTGTTCAAATCAGGCAAGTGGAATGTGTTTAAGACAGGTAAATTAAATGTGTTAAAATCAGGCAAGTTGAATGTATTTAAGACAGGTAAATTAAATGTGTTCAAATCAGGCAAGTTGAATGTATTTAAGACAGGTAAATTAAATGTGTTCAAATTGAACGTGTTTAAGACAGGTAGATGAAGTATGTTTGATTAAAATGCACGGAGACTAAGCTAAGTAATTTTGGCTCAAAAGTGTGGAGTACCGTACTCAAAACAATTTCACACTCATGACCACCGTTTGTGCATAAAAGGTTTTTAAAACAAATCACTTTCTAGACCCAGAGATCTAGAGACATGGTAAATACTTTCTAGACCCAGAGACATGTTAAATACTTTCTAGACCCAGAGACATGTTAAATACTTTCTAGACTCAGAGACATGGTAAATACTTTTCTAGACCCAGAGACATGGTAAATACTTTCCAGATCTAGAGACATGGTAAATACTTTCCAGATCTAGAGACATGGTAAATACTTTCCAGATCTAGAGACATGGTTTTGACTGACATTTGGGCTTTTAATGCTTTTCCCAAAGACTCAACTATTTCCTTTTAAAGGTGACACAGCGAGGTACAAGAAGGGAGTCTATTTCATCGTGGGCCGAACATCGGTGGATGTCATCAAGAGCGGCGGGTACAAGATCAGTGCCTTGGATGTGGAACGCCACCTGTTGGCTCATCCTGATATAGCTGACTGTGCAGTGGTTGGGCTGTCAGACATGACGTGGGGTCAAAAGGTGAGACATAACTTGTGGTCAAAAGGTCAGATATAATAGGGTTCAAGGGTGATTTACTTTTAAATATTTTTGGATAATAATGACTAATTGAACCCGATGTTTCAGTCATAAAATACCTGACCTGAATTATCCAAATAACTGGAACATGTCTGAAATTTTATTTGCAAGTTGCCCTGAATCCATTTAATAAATGACCCATCTCAACATGAATTATTATTTCAGAACTTTATGGCTGCTGTCAGCAATCTTTGCTACTTAAAGGTTTTTTACTCGTTTGATTCTCCACATTAATATTTGCTCTTTTGGACGGATGAGTACATACCTAGACCTGCCAACCCTTCCGATTTTCGACGGAATTATACCGATTTTTTATCCCCCATTCCAACGTTAAATAAAGCGTGACATGCCCGCCGGATGAATATCTCACGCACTATTTTTCCTGTCGCCAGACATGTAGCCACTGCCTTGTTTTTATCGAAGCGAACCGTGATCTCCAAATAATTTTTCAATCATTGATCCGATCAGGACTTAATCCTTTTACTAGGCTAAAAAATAATTCAGTCGTGTTGTGACTTTTTTTTTTGTTAACGATTTTCTTTGGTAAATGGATAAATCTATTGAAAGTGGTGGGTACAATGATATTAATAAACATATTTTAAAAATTGAAAAAAATATACAACTGCAGCTAAAAGCATTGAATCTACAACATCCATGACTTATTTCTTTGCTAAGGAATTGGACGATTCAGTTATCAGATTGGAAGTTTTATTTACCACTTTTCTTATTGAAGGAAATATTTCTCTAGCCAACTCCGATCGTTTTAATGCCAGAGTCAAAGAAATGTTTCCAGACTCACAGATTGCTATAAGATTTGTGAAGAAAAACTTTATATTTCTTTATTTACTCAAAAAGGCTTGTGCATTAGTATGTAGGTCTTAACAAATGCTCCCCACCAGGCGCCGGCGCCCCCAACCCCCGCGCGCACTCCCTACAGATTTTTTTTCGTGGCAGGTCTGTGTACCACCCAGTAAATGGCCCACTGACAAATTGAACGTCCCATCCCTTGTTGTCAGTCAAGCCATGCCATCATAGCTCAAGTGCTTTGAGGTTGGCCACACTGTTCATAATGATCTTTTTGCACCCGGGTTTGTGGTTGAAATGTTCCTTTTTTTGTAGCAATCTCCCTTTCCCTTGGTTCATGCAATAGCAGGAAGTGTCCCCACTTTACATTTGAACGACACAACTGTCAAGGCTGCCACTTAATGTCATATCAACCAAGTCAGAAGAGTCATGTTTTATCAATAAATCGATTAGAATCACGATTTATGTGTCTGAAATGAAAAGAGCTGTAATTTAACATTGTACACACGATGTCTGCATTGTATGCAGGTCCATGTTCTGTTGCAGAGTGTTTTCTCAGGTCACTTGGCTGTGTGTGTTTGGATGAGTACATATCCATATATTCAATAAATAAATCTCTCTCACAAATAGAATGGTGCATTTTTATTTCAGGTAGCTGCTATATTAGTTCTAAAATCCGGTGGGACCATGATGGATTTGGCAAATTTACGTGAGTGGGCAAGCTCACGTCTTCCACCGTATCAGCTCCCTACAGTCATAAAATGCCTGGACTCTCTACCTCGCAACACCATGGGCAAGGTAAACAAGAAGGAGCTTGTCAATCACGTATTTCCAGAATTTGCCCACAAGAAATGGTGATGATCTTCATTACAAATTATACATATTTTTTCTGAGGTTTAACTCTTTTGCTGCGGAATTTTTTCATAAAAAAAAAAAAAGTACATTTTTCCAAAGAGCAAAAATAGAGTGAGAGGTTGGGTTTATTAAAAAATATTAAAAATATTATTGTTTCCTTTATAAGACTAAACTTGGTATCAAATGAAAGATATTTGAAAGGACTTAATGTTTCTGAACTTATTTCTTCAGTAACAGAAAATAAAAATAAAATGTAAAAACATTATATGCAAAACCATTTTTTCCCCAAACCCTTTGATGTACGCATACCTCATCTTCACTTCTATAACTCAAATCCTCTAAAACTACAACTATCGGAATGATGCCATGGATCTAAATATAAATCACCTTCACTATCAAAAGAATCAGTATAAAACAATTCCAAAGCTTTTTGAACTGTTAATCGTCTAGGAAATGTACCTTACTTACTAGGGTCTAGGGTTGCCATAGCAACATTAGGAAAAAAATGGGGAAGAAAATCATTAAAATAATTCTTCAAATGACAATAAATAAACCTTGGTTTCGTCTATAAACAATGAAGTACCACTCTTCTATGTAAAAGTCCTATTAAAAAATAGCTCTTAAAAGGTTTAACTGAGAAATAGCAAAGAAACAAACATGATATTGAAACAACGCAAAGCGCGTTGGTCCGTGCTTTTTAGAACCGCGGATGAACGCACTGTATGTTGCGAAGCAGTGAAAGAGTAAAACCATTCACTACCCAAACCTGCTGCCATGAACTTGCAACTCTTACTAGCAACTGCCCACCATCAATGTTTGTACCTGGTACTTTAATATATATGTTAAAATTTTGAAACACCATTTAATCCAGACAGATGTCATTATTTCAGAAACAGATCTAGTTCCATTATATTTACAATCTTTTCGCTTTTTCTCAATGACAGATTTATCAATGTTTGGATGGTAAATGTTAGCAGCTGCATAACTGTTCATTAATAAATTAAATTGTAAATAATTTGGTAAAATGTTTATTGAATGTACTGCTATATTAATTACAAGAGGTTGTAATAAAGTGCTGTATAGCAATGAGTTGTGAGCTGCAAATAGTAATTTAAATAAATTTTTTAAAATATCTGTAAACTACAATGTGTGTGATATTGAATATTTAATCTTTTAAATAATATTAACATGTTCTTTTTTTCTAGATTAACCCCCTTGGCACTTATAATGTGGCTATTGAATGGCCTAATTTTTTCGATGTATGATGTTTGACTATTTCTCTTTTGTAGCAGAAAAACTCTTGACAAACTATTGATTTTGTTAAGTGTTACTTAATTTTCATATTTGGCAACGCCTTAATTGTTCTGTTGATATTCATGGTCATGGTGGTAGTTACTTTGATTTTATTTGATTAACCAAATGCAGCGTGGGATTTTCTGGTTACTGGATGAGTGATTTTTTTTTTTTATAACTGCTAACAACTACTTTAGAATTAATAAAAGTGATTTGTTAATTTTTCTATGGTAATTATAAAAAATTATTTTAAAAGAGCTTATGAATAATTTTGTTTCATTGTTTTAATTGTAATTTTAAAAATTTGTAGGAATCTCACAATTCTTTTTATTCTGATCCTCTGTCGGTCAGAGTTGCTTTGTCTCACTTAGAATTAGACCTTGAAAGTCCTATACTGATTGAAAAAAAGATAAGGAATTATGATTTAAATGGTAGTATGTAAGTGTAAGGTAGGAATGAAAGAAAAAAATCAAAGTCCTGTGAAATGGTAAGAATGAAAGGAAAAAAATCACATTCCTGTGTAAGGTAGGAATGAAAGGAAAAAAATCACATTCTTGTGTAAGGTAGGAATGATAGGAAAAAATCACATCAGTTTGTGTTGCAGCTAAATGAGAGAAAGGAATCAAGAAAGTCAAGATTGTCATGAGGGATGGTGCCACTTTCTGAAGGGCCTAAGCAAGCGTAACTGTGTCTTGGGAATGGCTTAGAAAACTAACAAACACACAAAACACGCCTTCCAAGAATAATAAAGTTATTTCAAGAAAATGCCAACTTAGACCAGGGCTTCTCAAACTTTTGGAATGTTGTTTAGCTTTGTTAATATGCTAAAAATATATGTACCTTCAGGTGCATATTTTTGGTTGGATATTTAAGTATATTAATATAACACCTTTTTCTGACATCTCTTTGAAGCACACAGTAGAATTTAATGACCAATTATGTATATATTTGTAGGCCAACTATAGTGCAGGACCCATGATTTAGAATTTTAGCTTTCATCTAGGGAGTGTGAAGGAGGCCACGGCTATAGGCGACACTTTTGGGGTTTATATTATAATTGATGTGTTAAAGGTGAATTACTGGTACTAAGATTATGTTTTTCCACCTCCTTTCTTTTTTTTTAAGACGGCGTTCGTGCCTTTAAAATCACAAAATTATTATACATTGTAACTTCATAACGGCCAGGTTATTAAACTTGCTAAAATGACAACCATAAAAAAAGTAGACTTACTTGCTCTAATTTTCTAATTATACAGCGTATACCTTTTGAAAAGCCATTTTATTTTGGTTCTCTCAAATTTTTCAATGTCAGCTATTTACCCGGAAACAAATATCAATCAAAATAATCTTTAATCATAAAATTGAAATATTATCTTTTATTTTATTCATTGTCGTTTAAAGTCTTGGATTTAACAATGAGTGTCACCCTTAAAGAGATCGACTCTATATGACCTTTGGCCTCCACAAAGGTGCCATCCATAAAGAATGTCACATTTCGGATGGGAGAGGGGGGGGGGTCTAAGAAAAAGTGTGACATTTAGTGAACAGGAAAAAAGGGGAGGGGGTAAACATATTGTATTACGTCACACATTTTACATTTTTCATCATACAAATAAAACATGACATTGGTGTTAAACGTTCTGTTGTGACAGATGTATTCTAACAGAAGATTTCACTATTATGCATTTAATAGTGTATTTTAGAATAAATTTAATTAGTTGTTAATTTTTTAAACATTTTTTTAGTTTGAAAGTGTAACATATTTTGGAGCTGGGAGGGTCCAGATATTTTTGATAGATTGTTATGGGGGGAGGGATGGGGTAATTTTTTTTTTTTTTTAAATTGAGTGACGTACTTAATGGATGACTCTCGAAGAAATATGGTTTGAATTAGATTAGGGGTGGCCATATGTAGCCAGCTGAGACGTTTAGTGTAGCCCACAAGACATTCTGGGAACTGGATTGTTTTTTATGAAATATACAAATTTTTTAATGTTTTTCTTTTAGGAACCTTGAAAATGAATAATTGCAGTGCAAAATTGTCAATGTGTAAAAGTAATAATCACAGGAAATTAAAAACATTATGACACTGCTTATTCCCGAAATGAAATGGAAATGATTTGTTGAATCCCATCTTCAATAATTTATTTCAAAATATACCCAGAATTCTCTAAAAAAAATCTGTCTGAGCCAAAAGTCCACTGATTTCATAAGCTTTGAATATAACTTCTAAAAATATTAATATGATATTTCTTAGCTCTCTCCCACAATAAAGATCAGCATTATCACAGTGTCGAAATAATAGCAGCCTCAATGGCAAACAATTTTGTTTGAATTTTGAATTATTTATCATTACGAAAATAATTTAAGTTATTAATAACATGTAATATTAAGAATTTTTTTTTTTAATGAGTGAACAAAGATAAAAAAAGATTGAAGACAAGTGTTGGACCTTTAACAAAGAATGGACATCTAACTCTAAGTATACACTGTAATAGATCCCTGCATTTTAATTGATCCGATCCCCCATCGATTTTTGCACCCCTCTTTGAGTTCTGCCTCCCCCACCCCCCTCCAATCAAATTGACAGTCTCATCACCTACTTTATTTTTAAAAGTTTGAAGTTAAAGTGTTTCATAAGTAAACCCAGGCAATCAAAATCAATTTTATTATTTGTATCATTTTGGTGTGTTTCTTTTATTTTAAAGAGAATTTTCGCTCCTCCTAGTGCCGGGGTTGGCAAAATTTTTAAACTATTACCAAAAATATATTTGTTTGTATGATGTTAATCCCGATTTATAATTTATAAGGAAGAAAATAATGGATTATTTAAAAAAATTTCAATTCAAAATGTTTTATTGACTCTTTTTATACAGATAATATAATTATAAATAGAATAATTACAAAATGAATTCAATAAAATAGGTTAATAAAATCATCATTGTTGAACTAAACGATTTCTTTTAAAAAAATGTTAAATTTCCCGTTTCTTATTGATAAATGATGTAAAAAGTGGAGCCTTTTTAATCTGAGAAATTTGGCTAACTGTATTTGGTGTAAAATAATTGATTGCTATGATTTGTTTGCAAAAGGTAAGTTGTATAAGGCAGCAACTTTTCGATTTCCCCCTAGTGAGCAAATTTTAAAACCTTTGCTTCTCTTGACGTTTTGAGCATAAGCAGTAACATCATTTGGGGTTGCGTGGTGCGAACGACACCCTCACATGGAGATGACACCCTCACAGGAGGAGGACGGCCTCACAGGGAGAGGACACCAAATGAAAAATTGTAAATTTGACAGTGCTCGATCAAGTTGGTTTCATAACACATCACCTGCCACCAGAGTAGGATACCATCAGAGTAGGTTGCCATGAGCAGTGTGATGCCAGAGCAGGCCGACTTGGAAGAGGTTCATAGAGAAGGATCTCAATCAGTTAGCTGAGTGGAAAATGCGCTGGGACATGGAAGTTCATCCTTCCAAGTGCCAGACACTGTCAGTCTCTAGAAGTTGTACTCCTCTACTTCACCATTACGAACTGCATGATCATATGCTTGAGCCAGTTTCCTCCGGAAGGTACCTTGGTGTTACCATTTTAAAGAGTCTGCTGGGACAAGCATATTAACAATGTGTGCAACCAGGCAAACAAGACTACGGTTCTTAAGGCGAAATCTAAAGATCGGCAACTCCAGTGTGAAAGATAGAGCCTATAAAGCCTTTGTCCGTCCGGTTTTAGATTATGCATCTTCAGTCTGGGACCCATTTACCCAGAAGAGCATAGACAGGTTGGAGGCGATCCAGCGAAGGGCAGCATGGTTTGTCCTGAACCCCTACAGGAATACCTCTAGTGTTGGCAGCATGCTGGAAACACTGGGCTTGTCACTATTTGAGGAACGACGACGACTATCCAGGCTCTCCATGATGTAGGTACAAGATAAATAATGGGCTGGTTCACTGCTCCAACATTAAACAGAAACTAGTCCCTCTCGCCCATAGACAGCGACGAGGCCATGACAGGCAGTTCTGGCTCATACCAGCAAGAAGCCAGTGTAGGAACTGCTCATTCTTGCTAAAGAGAATCAGGGACTGGAGCAAGCTTCCAAAATGATCAGTTGAGGCGACACTTGACACATTTGCATCTATTGACGTTCCAACCCCCGGTGCATGATTCCCTCACAAAGTGGCACTTGCAATCAGTGAAATATCCTCGTCAACACCAGGCACAGAAACATTGCAAATCCCCTCTACATGCACAGGAGCCAGAATGATCCATTATTTGATCGTGGGCCGTTAATATATAGAAGAAGAAGTCTGAATTGAATGGTATTACCGCACCGGGTGACATCAACTCTAGTGACGCCACGGAGCGTAAGATAAAATGTTTACTATGTCAAAATGACGTTTAAAACACGAGAGGATTGCTATTATGCTAGCTGACAAGCCACTTGTACGTACAACTTGTTTGGGGCGTTTGTATATTACATTGGCCGGATGCAGTGTTGCCATAAAAAAAAATATTACGTTTTAAAAAAAGCATGCTTTAAAAATAATTTTATTTATGTCTATTGAGCCCCCATCGCCCCTCAAGGCTCAAGATTTCCATTTTACCCCATTTGGGTTAATTTACCACAGTTCGCCGACCACTGGATAGCGTCAACACCTGGCTACGCTACTGTTCAGACAGTTATGACAAATCATGACAATTTTGGAATTTGTAATGAATTTGAGCGAAGCTGAATTAAAGCGAAAAGCTGATGACTTGGGGACACATTTAAAACATGAACAACCAACTTTTGCTAATTTTTCTAATTATTAGAATTTGTTTAATTTATGACCTCAAATTAATTTTTGTTATTATCTCTTGATTGCTAGTAAAATATAATGTAGCCCTCAACAAAAAAAAAAAAAAAATCTGAAACAAAATTCAAATGCAGCCCTCTGAGTAAAAAGTTTACCCACCCGTGAATTAGTTTATCGAAAAGTGAATCTAGCTTGAAGATATGTAATGACTGGCACTTCTCAAGTCTCAAGAGCTGGAGCGTGTCACTAAGCTAAACAAGCAGTGTCTCCCAAACTTTTAAGTATGGTGGACCGGTGGACTAGTTTCGAAGTTTGATTGCCCCTTGGTGAGCAAATTCGACAACCTGTGCATCTCTTGACATTTTGAACATAAGCAGCAGCTTCACTTGAAGGTGCGTGGAAGCGGACCGAACCTGGGAACCCTCACATGGGGATGACACCCTCACAAGGGGATGACACCCT